GTCAACTTGCATTACATATTCAAAGCATGAAAGGAAAGTACCAATAACTCAAAATACAAGCTCAGAGCACTTATTTGCAAATATTGATGAAAAAGAAACTTACTGCCAGAAAGAACCTGCTTCTAGAAATTAACAACAGTGCTTAAAGTAAAAGAAAAAGAGAGCTCCACATAAAAGGCTAGGTTCCAAGCCTCTACAGACAAAACTAATCATGTTGACAAATGCCTCTAAATCAAATAAAAAGAAAAGAAACTGAAATAGACATCAAAAACGTGAAAACAACATAAAAGCAAGCACAACTTAAAAATGAAACCTAAAAGATAAGCTCAAAATTAACATGGACAAAGAAAAAGAGAGAGCAAACGATCCCAACAGAGAACAACCAAATAAAGAGCTACCAAGGAAAGACAAGCTTCTATTGGAAGATTTTTTTAAATATTCTAAATCTATACCTCCACCCATATGCAAATTTTTCGTTGTTAAACAAATTGAAGCAAACAAAAGAACATGGTTTTACCTATGTCCTAAGATCTCCCTAAAAACTTTACCAAAAGTCCACAATATCTGGACCACATTTTGCTCCAACTGATGTTGCAAAACTTTAAGATCTCCCTAAAAAATTACTTTACCAGAAGTCCTCAATATCTGGACCGCATTTTCCTTCAATTGATGTTGCAAAACTTTCTACATAAAGTGACTATACAGAAAAGAAATGAGACAAATATTTCAAATGTAATAAGGTCCAAAAACACAAAAATACCGATGGGACCCCTAAAAGCACCTGTTGAGTTGTGTGCTTGAGAAGCCAAAACATCATCCTTGAAATCGACAAAGGCAGCATTCCTCAACCTGCTTGCAACAAAGTAGAATCAAATTTTCCGTTCCATTACCAAAATAAAGCATACCAAAAAAAAATAGCATCTTCTTCATTGATAATATATATATATATATATATATAGATAGATAGATATATAAAAACATCGTAGACTGAATCAAGAAATGCATTTGTTTCTCAAAATAGAACCAGAAAATCCACAGTACAGCACAAAGTAGAGATTGAAATAATTTCCAAGCATAAATTAACAAAACAAAGACAGATTCATCAGATAAAAAAAAATGAAGAACGTGTGAGGCAACTGCAAACAAAGTGTAATTCAAAACAAACCAAAATAACCCATAAGAAAAAATGTGTTAGCACTGAAATGAATAGAGGATGAGAATTTATGGGAACAAGAGAGTTAGTTGATTGTGAACTTTCAAAGAAGAAGGTGATGAAAATGGATAAGTAGATGAATCCTGTAATACAGAGAGGAAGAAAAATTGCTGTTTCTATATATTGACATAATAGAGAGAGAGAGAGCGGGGGGGTGTGTCACGAAGTCTGTGATTTTTATTTATTTATTTATTTTATTTTATTATTTTGAGTCTAATCAGTAATATACTTACATCCACTTGATTTGAAATCTAAAAAACAAAAGTAAATGGTCTATTTATATACTTTTACTTGAAAAATAGTTATCCAATGATTTTTAGGCGGATCGTACAATTTAGTTTGAAAATATTTCACTATGTACATTATATGGTCTTGGGGGAGCACAACGTACACACTTGTTATAAATTCTTCTTGGAAAGGAAGTGGTCCATCCGAAGACAATTGCCGGTGGATGAAGCGTTGCAAACTTTAAATAAAAGTGTCCCATCAAACGCGTGGGACCTTAACCCGGAGACTCCACGTCAATGACGGCACAAACTTAGAATTTCTATTGGTGTTTGACCATCGATGAGTGTAAATTAAATAAATTATTAATATATTGCAAAAATATTTTTGTAGATCTTATGCTTTAGTTTTATTTTAATATATAAAAAATATATATTTGTACACTCTATTTTTAGGTTTCATTTTTATATAGATATCAAGTTTTCAAAACTTAAAATCAGTGTTTAAAAAAACACCAAGTCGAACCGGAATCGCCTGGTTCGACTCGGGAATTGTCACTGGACATGCCGGTTCCGGCAAATTATCCAGAGAGAACCGGGCGATTCCGTACAGTGACTCGTCGATTCACTGTATGGAATCGGGGAGTCCCGTGAAGAACACGGGCTGCACAGTGTTTTTCACGGGATTCTTCAAAATTTGTCATTTTTCATCTTTTTTTTTTTTTTGCCATGTGATCGAATATTCAGGCTTTATGCAGCTTTTTTCATCCTTTTCATGGACTAAATGGTGGAGAAATTTCGTGTTTTTGGATCATGAAAGTTGCGGTTTTACGGTTTCCGCCTTTCCTTTTGTTTCATGCCAAATAGGGCATGAATCTGTGAAAATTTTTAGGCATTTTGATGGTAATAGTGTTCATCAAAAAATTCTATTACGAATTTGTGATAATCTTTGAGAAAAACAGAGTAATTTGGAGATTGAAGCCACGGGGTCACGAAACCAAGTAACAACTCTGGGTTTTTTTTTTTTCGTCATTTGATCAATTTGTGTCCTTATTTTGAAAATAATGAGTTACCTTTCAGGGTTTTAAATATTTATCGTGTCTTTTATCATTTACCATATTCAATTTTATTTAATTTACTCAATTACATCTTGATTTTTTAGATGAACACAGTGATGTCTGTGAAAAAAAAAATTTTTTTTTTTTTTTTTTCCGCCTTTCGATTTTTTGTTCATGATATATTACAAATAATGTGTTAGATTTCTAGGGTTTTTAATCATTATAGTCTTGTTTATAATCAGATGTATTCATTTTGATTTGATTTATTCAATTTGAGCTTTATTTTTTAGATTCAATGACTGTTGTTTGTGAAGAACTGCGTTTTTTTTTTTTGCTCAATTTAATCGATTTGATTTGATTTATTGATGATAATGTCTTCATAATTTAGAGTTTTGATTCCTTATATTGTTGTTTATCAAAAAGTGTACTCAATTGGATGTAATTTATTCGCTTGGAAGTGGATTTTTGAGTTACAATGGCTGATGTAAGGTAGCTATGTGAAGAAAAAAAAAATTTTATTTTTGTAATCCATGATCGAATTTTTTTTGTAGTCCATGACCGAATTTTTTGTAATCCATGATCGAATTGTTTTTTTTTTTTTTGTAATCCATGATCGAATTTTTTTGTAATCCATGATCGAATTTTTTGAATTTTTTTTTTTCTTTTTTTCTTTTGTAATCCATGATTGAATTTTTTGTCTTTTTTTTGTTTTCTGTAATCCATGATCGAATTTTTTGAAAATTAGATTTTTTTTTTTTTGTAATCCATGATCGAATTATTTGTAATCCATGATCGAATTTTTTGTAATCCATGATCGAATTTTTTGTAATCCATGATCGAATTTTTTATAATCCATGATTGAATTTTTTGAAAATTTGTGATTTTTTTTTTGTAATCCATGATCGAATATTTTTTTGTAATCCATGATCGAATTTTTTGAAAATTTGATGTACTTTTTTTTTTTTTATCCATGATCGAATTTTTTGAAAAATTATGATTTTCAGAAACGATGAGAAAATCGTGACAAGGTTTTGATTATCATGCGGTATTAAACCATATTTTTAATTTTTATTGTTTGAGTTTACTGTACTTTTTTTTTACTTTTTATCCATGATCGAATTTTTTGAAAAATGATGATTTTAAACCTCCGAGAGCGACAAATAAAAAGGATGCTTGAAGACTATGGGCCGATAGATTTAGACACAATATTTGTCACAGACACAGCAGACCAATGGGTAGTCAAAGAGGTGGAGGCAGTGTTGCACAAGATAGCGTTCCTTGAGGCTATCGGTGAGGAAGATCTTAAAGACGGTGATGAGTAGCATGAAAGAAGAAGCAGTTAGCCAACGTATCCACAATTCGTCGGAGATGTCGGTGATATTGCACCTAATGAGGGAGAGTGGGAAGGGGGTCTAAGGGAAAATGAGAGAGATGATGATTCCGAAGCCACCCTATCCCAACCATATTATTTACATATCGAGTCCCAATAGCAACAGGGTAGGGATGAGCACGATAGTGTAGGTGAGCATGAAGGATGGACAAGCTTCGGGGATTTTGGATTGAGAACACAACAGAACACTAACACTTAGGGATTTGGATATAGTCAGACGCTTGCTAATATCGATGATTCATTTTTAAATCGAATCAATGAATTGTCAAACGAATTCAATCAATGGCACCAGAGTGACCAAGAAGAAGAACGACGTCGTCTGTCATTTTATTTTTAGATCATATGTTACTAATTGTATGCTTTATTGTAGTCCATGTATGTTGATATATTTATTCCATGATAATTCTATGTTTATCCTTTTGTGTGACGTAAATTAAATGGTAAATAGTAGTTCATGCAGGGAAAGAACATATCAATATTCGCATATTCATGCAAAGAAATAAAAATTATTAATGAAGTACCCTAATTTTTTATTGAATTCGTAAAAAAAATATTTATAATGAATTTTAATAATTTTTTCGGATTTCTTTGAAGCTTTAATCTGACCGATTCTCGATTCGGATCGCCGATTCGCCGATCCGGATCGGTTTTTGAGGTGCACGATCTGGGTCACTGATCCGCTTTTTAAACCATTGCTTAAAATAGATATTCATTCCATTATGTCTTTTAACCCCCTAGATAAACTTTATTTTTGTTTATCTTAGCTTTTTAACTCAAATAAATTTAAAAAAAACATCATTTTCTAAACCCCTCTGTCATCATGTGTTTCACTCCTCGTGAATCTCCCAAACTCCTCTCTCTTATGTAGTTCCCCAATTCTTTTCTTCTCTCGTGATGTGTATCCCAAATATTTTGAGAGAGAGAAGCAGGAGAGTGCGTGAGAAAGACGAGGGTCACTGCTCTTGATCTTAGGACTGGTGTTTCTGTATAAGACTGCTACTCTGTCGAGGAATTGGAAGACGTGTAACCACGCACACTCACACGCAGTTTTGTAAACTTTAGAAAGCATATCAAATATTAATAATGAACCTCTACACAGCCCTCCTATAGAACCGTTAATTTAAAAGAAAAAGAGTGCCAAGAGTGAGAGATTCAGCAGCTTTAATGGTGAACGAACCACCCAACTTGTACCCTGCAAGATTCAGGAACTGAAGTCCTTCAAGCCTAAGAAGAGAAGTGAGATTGATATTAAGTTCTTTGTTCGCAACCCCCAAATAAACCAATTCCAAACCAACAACCTGACCCTCATTACCGCACCTCACTCCCCACCACCGACACCAATCCCTTGACTTTAATCGCTCATATGCACTGCTCTGATTGAGGAAGGAAGCTTTGAATGCCAAGAGAGCTGCTCTTTCTCTCTCCAGGCACGAACAACCAACCCAAAAGAAAATGCTGATTAAGCTTAACATATGAAACGTGCATGGGGCAAGTGATTTTTTGCGAGAGCAGAGAGCCCCCATGACTCACCTCTTTCTTTGCTCAATTCGAACACACACATACACTCTTTATAGCAGATGCCACGTGAAGTATAAAAGTAAGCATAATTTTTTCTCATACTGTTCTACTGGGGTTTTGCTGTGTTCGCATGGCATACCATAAATTCTAACTTTGTACCACCTGGGCATTACACCTAAAGTTTCGGGAACGGTCCTACTAATGAAAAAACAAAAAACAATTGACAATTTTTTCTTTTTTTTTTTTTTTTAAGAACCGAGGGTAGAAAAAAAAGAAAGAAAAAAGAGATGACCGACCTTCCTTATAATTTCTGCCTGAAATAAGATCAATTTGTATTTTAGGTAAGTATTTCGAAACCGTACATAAATTACTCTAAATTTTGATAGAAATTTGTTCTAGAGATTGTTGGAATGTACACAAGGAAGAGCCGGATTCTACCATTTATAAACATTTTTGTTTTCATACTTATCGCAAAGATAATTTTCTAGACAACATAACGATATCGTGATTGTTGATATGAGTCTCAGTGATCGACTACAAATATGAATAAAAAATGGTAGCTCAAAAATTAGCCTTTTAAACATGGGACCTGGCTTTTATGCGGCCAAGCCTGCATATGTGGAAATCTAGGCATATTAATAGATCTATTTTTTAAATAGATTTTTGAAAATAAATTTTAAAGACATGTAATCTCTAAAATGGAGATCATGAATATGAAACAACAAATATATTTTAAAAATTAAAAATAATAATTTTAATAAGAAAACATTTGGACGGTTAGTTTCCATTATTTGTAGATGAAACAACTACTTGCATCCATCTTTAAAATAGGTGCTTTAGCTTTTTCGACCCCAAATGTAGTAATGCGGTTCAGCCCGCATGAAACAATTTTCCTTGAGATATTCATACATCAATTAGTCTTAAACGAATATAATGACTTCCACAACAAATTATCAAGAAAACCAACTAAGAAAAAGTGTCTAAAATTCTAATAAGTGTGTCTAATATACACACCATCACGTCCTTGATGTGTCGGCACAATGAACCTGTAATAAACATTTTATAAAATGAAAGAGTTTATATAAGGTTGCAACCTTATACTGTTGAAGTAAGGTGCACCTTAAAAATCCTATAGTGGAGAGTGTTTCGGTGTTGGAGAACCTTCAATTGACCATCTCAACCTTGAGATTAATGGACATGAAGAAACAAAGGATTTCAATTCCAAAAAATAATGCATCTTGTAATAAGATATTTGGACTGTTTATATTCATGATTTTCAGGTGTTTCTTAATCTGCTTGATCTGTACCATTTTATAAATTTTAGAACTTATAACTGAAAAAAAAAAAAATTTTGAAGCCATCACAAAGTTTTAGACACCGAAATAATATCTCTAAATAAATTTTATAGGCGTGCCTTACTTCTACAGCATAAGGAGTCAGCCTTATACAAAGCTCACCCTTCATAAAAAGTGAGCCTTGTTATTCGCGTTGGTAAGGAAAAGCATGTGACTCCTTAATGTATATTCTCCTTTCACGGTCGGATAAGGGAGCCAAATGTAATTCTTCCTTTTAACAAAGCGTGAACGACCCGGAAAAGTTTTTTTAGAGCCTAGGCTCTAAAGTCTAAACAATCAAATTAGAACTTACCTCAAAACTTCCATTAGAAGAGGTGGTTTTGATGCTCAAATATCATCAAATTAATAACGCATGGAATAAAAAGAATAAAATGGATTTCAATGTTTGAAAATAGTGTATTTTGTATCTCTGTCAATCTACAATATATTTGAAATTTTAATCTTTATAAATAAATATGAACATATATTTTAAGGCTATCAAAAAGATTTCCAATAGTGAAACCACATTTGCCGATACTATTTGAAAGTAGACTCTAATTTGATTGTTTAGAGCCTAGGCTCTATACAAACCGCACCCCGTTACCAATTGACTCTGGTCAACGTCTTCCCATTGTTTATTGCATACGTTAACCTAAGTCATTGTCGTCAATCTTATTATCTCTCTCTCTCTCACACACACACGTACAAATACAAAAAAAAAAAAGGTTTATATAAGGTTGAAAGTGAACCTTAAAATGTACAATGATGCTAAAAAATCCGTCATAAAACATTGTTTTGATATTGGAAAACCCCCTAATTAATCATCTCGACATCGAGAAGTATGAATATGAAAAGAAAAAAAGATTTTGAGTCCTCAAAATAATGCATTTTGCAAAAATATTTATCGATATATTTGATTTGGACTATTTTTAACGTTTAAGATTTTATAATTAGAGATGAAAATATATTATCAAGCCATATTAAAAAATTTTCACACCAAAATTATATATTATGATAAAATTCATAGATGTGCCTTAATTTGATTGTTTAAGATTGCAATATTATACAAACTACACCCCATAAACAAAGCGCTCTCTCTCTCTCTCTCTCACGCACACGTATGCGTGAATCTCTCTCACACACGCAGAAATCTTTCTCTCGCTCTCTCTCTCTCACTCTCTCTCAACACAGTAGCATAAATGGCATTTTGAGAAGCCAACAACACTTGAATGCACAAAGGAAGCTAGCTCTCTCTCGCTCTCTTATACACAAAAAACTACTCTCTCTCTCTCTCTCTCTCAAAAAAAGAAGCATAAATGACATTTTGAAAACCCAATTGCACGTGACAATAGGGGTGGCAATGGAGTCGTACCCCGGTATGGGTCCAAATATTGAACCTTGAGAGTTGGGTCGGAGTCCAAATAAAGGATCGGCCTGGATCCATATAGACCAGACCCAAATAGTGTTATTATTCAAATAATATTTAATATATAAAAAGTTAAACGTTTGGCAAAAAAAATGAAGTGACTAATTATCAAATTTGATACTTCTTTGAAGAGAGTGATGAAAAACCCACTGACCCAAGTCAAAGTCCCTCTCTCTCTCTTTCTCTATAACTTTCTCTCAAAGAGGCATCAATGGGTTAGGTTACCCTTGACCTTGCTCTAAGGAAGTTATCCATCAATCACATCAAAGGCACATAAATTTGTGTGTTGGGGCAATATGGTGCCCCTCTTTGGTTACAAATTTTAGTGGGAAGGAAGAAGTTTACATATTGAACATTGAAAAACGATGATTTGTGGAAAATAAAAGGGCCGGCCCCTAGAGGGAACAAGGGACTACAGATGGGCATGGGGCCACGTTTTTCGGGTAATCTTCTGGTGTAAATGATCAAGTCTCCCAACGACTTTTGTTTTTTTTTTGATGCGTTCTTATGTTTTCTATATTTTCTCTAGGAATTTAATAAAAAATGAAAGAAGGAAAATTTATTAGGTCGAAAGATCTTTTCGAAATTTTTTTTTTATGCGTTCTTTTTGTTTTCTATATTTTCTCTAGGAATTTAATAAAAAATGAAAGAAGGAAAATTATGTACGATACACGAGGTATACTCTAAAGCCCCAAAGAAAAAGAATAAAATCACACCATATACTCAAAATAATCAAATTTCGCCAAGCCTAGGTATTTCTTATGCTTCATTTGTACATTTCTACTACTAGTTCTCGTTTACAACAAAATTCTTTACTACCATTTTCGAATAAGAAAGATAAATACTTGGTTGACAAAGAAGTTGTTGTGCTTTTACCCTGAATAATATTACATTTAATATTATAAATGCACAATCATTTATTAATATGACGCATGTATGTATCAAATATAAATTGGTTACATATTGCCATATTACTCATCTCTTCACACTAAATTGGTACAAAAATTTAATATAGAAGTTCATGCGTATGTAGCTTCAAAAAATAAGTTGTGTTCAATCAGGATGCACTTTGATATCAGATCTTTGGTCTAACATGAAAAATCATTATTTCCTCAATGTTGTTGCTTCTTGTCCAAAGGGGTTCAGTTTTTAGAAATACATATGAGATATCTGAGCAGAGAAAAGCATGATTATTTATTGAAATTGTGCTTCATAAATTCATTGAGAAAGAAGGGCCATAAAATTTTGTTCAATTTGTGATTGACAATGGATCGAATTAGGGAGTTCCTGATGGTCTCACAGAATCGAAATTCCCTCATATTCATAAGACATGGTGTGCTGCCTATAGAATAGATTTTCTTTTAGAAGATATTGACAAAGAAGTCACTTGGCTAAAAGATGTCATAAATGATGCCAAGTTGATAGTGGATTTTTAATGTCGGCATACCATTATTTAATATTTAATGAGAAAGGCCACATGTGGAAAAAAAAAAACTAAAAATGTATTATAAAACCAGATTTGTCATTAATTGTGTGATACTTCAATTCATATTGCAAGTACAAGAGGGTTTGAGATTGATAGTAGCATCCTTTGAGTGGAAAGCTATGAGTTACAACAATAGTGAAAATGGAAAAAAACTTACAAAAATAATTTAAAGCCCCAATTGTGGAATGTACAATAGATACAAACACCACATTAGAGCATCTTATTAAGGTGTTTCATTTAGTTGAGATTGAGGGATCAACCATATGATACTTAAATAAGACAATACAAAGGACAAAGGAAGCACTGAAGAGAAATTATAATAGTAATGAATCTTGATATCTTGAATTGTTGAAGAATTTTGAAAAGAGGTGAGAGAAAAATATAATTCACCTTATTCATGTGGTTTTCATACTTCTCAATCCATCTTAAATATGTGGTGCCCTGTCAAATTTGATAATTTTGAAGTGAGGGTTGTCATTACCTTGATTTCAGATACTATGATCCCCAAAGATAACAAAAATGCATTATTTTTCAGAATTATTGAAGTACCACGTGCAATTTCCAAATGTATTTGATGTTGTTGCAATAGGATTATTGTCAACAACTCATTATCGCGAGTATTTTGTTGTATTTTTTATTACTTTAAAAAAAAAATCTTATTTCTTTTACTTGTATCTTAAATATGTGGCCAGAAAGTATTTCATTGTATAGGAGTTTGGTGGGACTTATGTGGAGAAAGCAATCTACAAATTCAAATGG